TCATAGAACCATAGAACAGTTGGGGTTGGAAGGGCCCTTTCAAGGCCATCTAGTCCAACCTCCCCGCAATGAGCAGGGACAGCTTCAACTAGAGCAGGTTGCTCAGAGCCCCGTCCAACCTGACCTGGAGTGTTTCCAGGGATGGGGCATCTACCACCTCTCTGGGCAACCTGGGCCAGTGAGTTGTAGTCCTACTCAGTACATTTTGCAGGATTAATATTAAAAGGTACCCACAATTGAGCCGGGCTGTGTGACCAGTTTGCTTACACAGCTAGACCGTGACATCTGCTTCACAAGAAGGTGAAGATTCAAAATTGACACAAACTGCTCAGTTTAAGAAAGGTTTGCAGGTAACCTCTGCCTTCCGCTGCCGGAGGTCTGCACACATCCTTGCACAAAGGGAACGGCTTTGCTTCCCGTTCTGCCCGAGCTCCCCGCTGCTTCGGCTGGCAGGTGGGACACGCATGCTCGGTGCACCACTCCACTAGCCACGCGCTGTGACCACCACCTCTTGGGTTGCTGTTTTCTCTGTTGGCGAAGTGCAAAGGCTTTGTGCACAAACACAAACTTGTCCCAGCTGGTGACAAAGAAAAGATTTTGAAAACCAGATTCAGAAGCTGTATAGAATGTCCCTTTCTCATTCTTTTTTTGGAAGACCTTCCCAGGTTCAGAGATAATGCAAGACAAGTTCGCAGGCGTTTTCAAGTGCGTATCAAAGGTATGAGCCACTGTCTGGCAATACAGAATACCTCTGTTTAAATGTATTGCAAGCTTTCCATCCTTCCTAATTGATCCCCAACTTCTCACACCTTCAGCGATTTCGGGGGGGGTGAAAGGGGATGTACTGAACAGATAAAACAAATTGGGCGGAAAAAAAAACAAACAGGAAAATAGTAAATGAAGTTTCAGTATAACATTACGTGATGGGTACTTCCAGAAAAGCCTGCATGCACCACTCACAGTGAGTTAGTACACTTTGGTTCACGGTATTTACTAACAAATTAAGGATATTCGCTTTGGCGTCAGCATTTAACCTTTAAAACCATTGATAGCTCTGAACTCTTAACGCAAGACTTTGTACCAGTTTCTAGTGTAATACCCAAGCTATTGCTTTACTGTACATTAAAGTGATAATGGAATACAGACTTGGAAACAGCCTTTACCTGCACAGAAAACTGCTTTTGTAGGCCACAGACTTGTGACCTGGGGCCCAAACTTAATGTAAGATAAACTAGGAGCTCCGCTGTTACATGAAACAAAAACTTTCCCAAGAAGGAAAAACAAAGATGAAAAATTAGCAATTACCATTACCAAAAGTAGGAAACAAATTTAAGTTTTTAATCCCGATCCTTTAAAGGTTGTTTTCTAACTTGCAAGCACTGAAGACAAATCCTACCCTGAAGGCCGGCTTATTGCATGTTCTCATTTTTTAACTTTGAAAAATACTTGCCTTGCAATAAAAAGAGATCCGATGTTGTTAAGTGATCTGAATATTGTCTTACAAGTATTTAAAGAGATTTGTGATAATGAACACGTCTAACAAATGCACACAAGATCCAACTGCTGAAAATTTAATTTTGGAAAAAAAAAAATCAGAACTTAATTTTTTAAGAAAATTAATTTCTTACCTTTAAGGAAAAATAAACTTAATGAAAACTGAGCATTTACTATGGTAGTTCTGGCAGAAACTTCAAATACCACCTCATTGTTTGGGTGGGTTTTTTCTTAGAAAAGTATCCTTACATTTAATACATGCAAAGGGATATCTGATCGCTGGAAGTTCACTGTTGGAAAGGTGCACGAAGTTTGGATGGGAGGTGGAAAAAAAAGCCAAGCACCTGGAAAACACTTCATTGCTTCTTTATTTAGATGCACCCACAGTACAGAGCCTCTTGAGCATGTGCATAAGAGGAAGATTACACATTTATAACTGGGAGCACCATTGAGTCCGAGTTTCTTTGATACCATTTTTAAGAAACTAAACTGTTTCCAAAGAATGACATTTGAATCCAAGAGCTTAAGACCTACTTGTACTTTATCCAGAGGTGGAAGGTGTTTTTCTTTCATTATTACTTCAATGTAGAGTAGAAGACATTTTCACAGTCTGGTTGGACCAGTCTATATATTTTCATATGCACCTTTTAATATATATAAAAAACATTTCATTTTTCCCCCCTACCCACAGATAGTTAAATGCATCTAAGTTTAAAAACAGTAATGGACCAGAGCATTCCTATGGGGAAAAAATGAACTTTTGCTGCCCTCTCCTGCTTAAACAATGAAATGCTAAAATATTAAGATCTATGAACCTAATGCTAACCTCGAAACAAAAAGCATGACAGATCATTCGCTATACTACAATCAAAAATAGGACAACAACAAGAAATGTATCGGTACTATTTATATTTGAAAACGCCTCATCAGTACATGAGGTTATGAATACAACATATTTACAATAAGTGATCCAAATAACAAAAAACTCGTATTCAGAGAGGTCATGATAGAAAGTGTGTGCTTCCATGGATGGGAAGAAACACTTGGATAAAAGTTCGCAATCAAAATTAGTTCCATTCTGTTTCAAGATACTGTTTCACAGACTTCAAAACAAAGAACTGAGCTATACAAAATCTGCTGCACATATCAACTAGAAAAACTAATTTGTGGCTCACTCCAGAGCTGCTAAGGGAAGCAGGTGAGCCAAAATTAAAGAGACACATGTAAATTGAAACATTCTTCAATCTTGCGCATTGTCACCTTTGTCTTGTTTTAGGGCAGTTGCTTTGGGATGATACTGTTACACTATTAAGAGAAAAGGCCATCTGTGTTTTCCAAGACAGAACTAAAAGCATATTATTTCAGTTTTATTTGGGGGAGAGAATAATATAGTGTTTCCCCCTCCTCACAAAACAACGAACAGGTTTTTAAAGCTCCTAATATATTTTTCTTTCCATAGAGTGGGAGAGCCTCAGGCTGTACTTATGCACACATAATGGAAGTACAGCTGCTGCATTTCTTACTCAAGCAATTCTTGGCTCCAACACCCTCAATTTTTTCCATATACAGGAGAAGATAAAAAAATAAATTAAATCCTTCTATTTATGCTAACAAAACCAAGATTAAATTTACTGTAACCCTGTTAGTGAATGCTCCAATGGTATTAGAATACTCTTCTTTAAAGCATTCCAACCTTTGGAAGAGAGACAAAAACCACTCAAAAGCAATGAAAGGGGAGACTTGCAAGATGAAGAAAGCAATGTGTGCTCAATTTAAAGTATATGAGAGGAACTTTACTTTTACAATTGTTATATCCCCACGACCTGATGCAATGCCCTAGTATTGAAAATGCAGCTCTTTCCTTTTACCAGAGAGCATTCATTCAATCCTTTCTCCCGAAACCAATATGGTACAGGACACGAGCGACCACCCAACAACTGCTGTGCGAGCAGTTAATAAAAACATTTACACAAATAAAGGTAGTTTCTGGAACTCAAGAAGCAAACGAAAGCATAATTAAATAGATGCACTGATCACACTTGGGCCCATACGCTGCCTTCTTCTTTGCCTACAACTCCAAGTGATACCAATAGGAGCTCTGCAGAGTGGCAGGACATCGCATTTGGATTGCGGCAAACAGTGGATCCCGGGGGTACGGTCGTATCATTGTGGCAAGTGCTTCTTCATGTACATCGCACAGTGCAACCTAGTGTCGTATCAGCCTTTTAGAGTCAAGTGACTAATATCACATCGTCTTGTTCACTTTTAAGAAACATTCCTTCTCGGAAGTGATAAATCATCTATAAACTTTAGATACACCCCACTATCCCCACATCAGAGGTAACATCAGAGGTAACAAAATATTGCAACCCATCAGGTTCTCATCAGTCTTGTATGATCAATACCAGAATGTCATGTCAAAACCAAAAATAGTTATGAACAAACAACACTCACCTAAACTCTAAGTACAGGACAAGGTGCTTTTTCTAATTTCACATTGTTGTGTTTTACTCCATCAGGTGGAAAACATTAATCTTTTTTCCTCCATTCTATCTCAGTTTTTCACAATTGAACATAGTGTTTGAGCATGAGTTTAAGTCCACCCTCTTGTAAAGCATCATCATTTCACAGAGAAATCACACCAGCAAGTATCTTTAGGTAACAGAAATAAAAGACTGTCAAAATCAATGGTCTAAGGGACATGATTTGTTATAAATTTATTTAATCTTCAGTATTTCAGCTTGCACCTTTGCTTCAACACTTTAAACTAAAATGTTTCAACTATGACAGTAACTGCCTAATTTACATTGCGTCCCAGTGTTCTTAAAAGAAGTTCATGTTAATCCCATTAAATCATGTTGTGTTTGGTGTTGCGTATGACTAGCTCCACTTTTTTTTTTCCCCCCAGAATTAACAGTGTCAAGTTTTTACAAAATCGTTGCGTTTACATCATTTGTGTGCGCAGACCCAGAAGTACAAACTGTGACCTGATAATCCTGAAACAGTCAGTAGTCTAAGAGGGAATTCTTTTTTACTTCTTTTCCGTGCCTGAAAACAAGAAAACTTCAAATCCTACTGTATAGTTAAATGGTAGGAAGAAAAATATACAAGCTTGTATTTATACTGTATTTCTATCAATGGCAACAGGTCATAAATTCATGTTTGCAACTATCACAAAGACTCATGGACACCAATTCAGTTTTATACTGTAAATACTGCTGGATTGATGGTTTAGGATTATCAATTCACTGTTGTCATATGTCTATAACAGTTCAAAAGCATCCTGGAGAAAAATCCTGAAACACATACCTTTCGGTATATAATAATGCAACTGCATTAGCTAAATATATACTGTACATAAGTCTTATCAGCATTTTACCTACCAAAGATGTAAGATTCCACTTTCAAATACAAAGCAGATAGCCAATAATGTATACTTACAATACAGCCCTCTCTGTTTTTGTAATTTTTTTCTTTTGTTTTAAACAATTTGGTCACAATGCACCTTTGATATAAAAGCATTTTAAACTTTATTATTAATACTCAGAACATTAGGATTTCCAGAATTTTTTTCAGTAGCATTTGTAGAACCACTTTTGGTAACAAATACAGTAGTTAGGAATGAGCATCCAGATGAGAATGCAGAAATATATTATCCAGAATCCTCTCCAGCTAAGACAATAGGGCTGGTACTGTGATGAATAATAGTACTAGAACGACAAAAACACTATAGTATGTTTCTTAGAGGCTACATCCTCTTTTGCTGGAACACTTCATAAATACATATTAAAAAGTAAGGCAACAACTCCAAACAGTCCAAACGGCTATCTCAACAAAATTTCCAATTAGATCCATGACCACTGGAGATCGATTTCATGCTTGCACTGTTTAGCGTTTGTCTTTATTCTTTTGAAATGGTCCAAGAAAAGATATTTTAATAATTTAGCAATTAGTATTTCTAAAACAACTCCGGTGTGCGTGTCCAATACCGTATCACTAATACTGGTTAGGTACTCAAGTCCAGGGTGTTACCACTGCCCGTTTTTAAAGGATTGTGGACACTAATTTGGATTTGTAATAAATAGGTGCGTGAATCCAAAGCTCCCTTTCCTACTATGTTTATCACCTACTTGTTTTTTAACTCCTAATGTTCAGATTAAGGAAACACCAGAGACAGCCTGGTACTAAAAAAATGCTCACACCAGTAAACAAAACTTTTATTCAGGACCAATGTTTTTCATGGTCCTGATGTGAATGGACATTCAACTTATGAAGATGTGCAAAAGGAAAAAAGTCAAATTACAGTAAAGTTATCCAGAGAAGGAGGATGTTACACAAACTCATACGGAAATGACAGTCTTTTTTCTCCCTTACTATAAATACACTTAACAGTTTAGCAGAAAGACAAGCTAAATTTTAAGATTGTTCACATTTGAAAGTCATATTATACTCTCTGCTAACGATAAATAAGGAACAGGTCCTGACAATGGAATTTGACATCGCAATTTTCATCAACAGATCTTTGAAGACTGGTTTTAAGAAGGGTTAAAACAATGATTATGTTTGCAAAGTTCTGAGAAGTCCATCTGCTGTCCAAACTTTGGATTAAAGTCCTTATTTTTTTTCCTTTACTTAGAGACAGGTATATACAGTGCTGTTGTAATAATGAAACAAATGTGAAATCTACTGTAAAGTTGCACAATACAGAAAACTGTTGCTCCATCTTCTACTACATAAATGTGTGACTCCACAGGTTAATAATGCTGTTTTGTTTTTTTGTTAAGTTGGAATTATCCCATCACGTCTAAGACCTCTCTTTAATTCCAAATCCTCCAGTTTTTTCCACAGTTCTTCACGCTCTTTCTCTTTCTTCTTCTCACTGACAGATGAAATAAAACAGAGTTAGCAAAGGAGAATACTGTAGAATATCTATGCTTAAAAATATATAGTTGACATTAAGTAGCAGCACTAATTTTTTTGAACACAGCTGTAATTTTCCTAACATATTTATTTTTGGTAAATATTTTTGTTTGGTGGTTTTTGTTACCTACATAAATATTGCTAAACAAAGCAGCAGGAAAAGAACATAAAACATAAGCTGAACAAAGTGACAGTGTACATAGACACTAATTTGTAATATAGAAGAAAAAAAAATGCAGTGGACTTATTATGGAAGAAATATATCATGATTATAAAAATTAACAATTCAGGACTAACTTGCATTTAATTGTTTTCAAGTTTGTTTATTTAAGCAAGATAGTTTTTTAATCTTATAAATAACAGCCAATTTCTAGAATAAGCAATCCCTTACTCTTTTAGAATTACTGTTCTTATTTACATTGACTGGTGCCTTCCACATAGCTTAGGCACCAATGAAGGGAAAGTTCAAGTTAAAAGATGTGTCTTTTGTTCAGTGATTTACTTTTTTTCCCCTTACCAAATTCCTACAAGATCTATATAGCATTTGCTTTAACAACAGACTTCAATGGCTGATTTGATAAAATTAAACAGCTAACAACATTTACTGCACCTGCATTACTTGCTCTCTAAGCTTCCTGTCTCTGCCATAGCTTACTCTGAATAAATCTCCTTGATACTGCAAGGTACAAAATGCTTTCAATTTCTCTTAAATTGCCTTGTAGGTTCAGATGAAATGGAAATCTAATTACAGAGACACATGTTCTCTGCCAGTCACATTAGAGAATTCTTGAAAAATATTTCAGCTGATTAGAATCATTCCTACACAATTTGTTTCAGTCATGAAAATGCCAACCTCTGGCTCATTTGAGATTTTAATTTCCCAAGACTATTTTAAACATATAAAAAAAGTAGAAACAATTTTCAGATAAACCCTTGAAGAACAGTAAAAAAAAAAAAACCTCAAACACCAAAACACCCCCAAAGAGCCCACTGTCACTAGAAAGTATTTAAAATTAAACATAAGAATGAGTGAAATAGCCTGACATTTTCAGGCTACTTACCGACATTTATCGTCTAATCATTATGAAATACACACCTGCTTACCTAAAGACTGTTAGAGGATCATCACCTCATCTGAGTTACCCATTTGACTTATCATAGTCATTAATATTGAACGTATTTCTCCTTTTGAAATGCAGTTTTATTAAGATGTTAAAGATTTTCTGTTAACATTAAGGTAAATAACCCAGTTTGCACATTCAGATATTTACATATTTTAAAACAAGTAGTAAATAAAAACGGTGAAATGGTTAGCACCAGCCTTGATAGGCAATACAACATCAGTAGGTGCAAGAAAAATTCTTTCTGCAGTTCAGTCAATAAACCTCACCCATTATCCAGACACAGGACATACTACTACAGTGCCTGGTCCTGTTAAGAGCAGAGTTCCTCCTCTTAAGGGGCAAAATGCAAACGCAAATTCATTTAAGTCACTGTGGTCCCTCAGTATAACGGCTGGATTAGATGACCAGTCCTAAGATTCTCTGTCTTTTCTGCTAGATAACCACAGAGTGTTGTCTCAACTGCACTAGCAGATTGAGCCTTATATATCAACACCTATCTAGAATTCATCTGGCATCTTAGCTCAAATATATATCCAAGTCTCTAAAAGTAAAATTTACTTTTGTATTAATTAGCTAACCTGTTAAGTGTAGATTTTTTGTGTATAAAACTTTGTATTTTACAACAGCGAAGCAGAACAGAAGGACAGTGTGACTCCGGTCACACAATTTAAAAAATATGGCCTCCAAGAGACTATAATCTAACAAGGTGTGACGACATAAAAACCCCTTTGCTTTTCTTAGGGGAACCCTGAGTCACAGAAAAGATATGACCTAAATGAAGTTGCAAACTGTTCAGAGTTCCTGAAGTTTCCCCTTTCTTTTCTTCACCTGACACTCTGGAAAAGCTGAAACTCTTGAGAAAAGATGCTGCACTATTATTAGAAAATAAAGATTAAGGAAAATAGGAGAAAAAACAAAAAGCATTTTACTAGGGTGGAACTAATGACTGTGTGAGTGGTGCATCTAATGGATCCTGCATGCTAAAAGACTCAAATACAGCCAGACCTCTGAATAAGAAATTAAAGGGTTGAGAGATGCCCCTTTGCTTTAAGACCACATCTAGCCTATGGACAGTAGCTTGGAAAATCAAATCTTAGGATTTTCCCTCTTGTCTCTTTCCAAGCCTCAGTGTGACTTTTTTGAAGTCTTTAAGCAAAGTGTTATCTTTAAACCCTTATTTTTCTTTTATTATTGAAGATCTTGATACATTTAAGTGTTTTGGAATTCTCAAAAGGAATTCCATGAGGAATGTAGATTCCCAAGCAATGCAATGGGCACTGTATTTCATAAGGGGTAAAGAACACCCTGTACATGATATTATCTTACATCTTGCAAAGAGAAGGCTAATGAGCATCAGGAGGGAAAATGAGGCATTGTGTCTGTTATGTGTGAGATTATGCAATTGCATCTCAGTGTAAAGGGAAAAAGTGAAGAGCAGGCCTTATGCACGGCTGACAAAAAAAAGCTTTAAAAAGTTACCGCTGACGATCTGACTTGTAAGTGGCTGTCAGCTCGTCAAACATGGTGCTGTTCATTTCCATAAATGCCTTCAACACATTGTAGACTAAAGCCACAATAGCCCTGTGAAACATTGAAAAAGAAAAAAGAAAGGAATCTATTAGTTTCAGGTGAAATCAAACATGAAATAAAAGCATCTTCTCTTACCAGCATTTCTGTGACCAATTCTACTCTTGCAAGTATGAAAATTTAAATTCTTTGATTTCAGTGAAACTACTTTTGATTAACATATTTAAAGATAAGAATCAGCTTTCATGTCTCTGTTGACTACTTAAACGGAGCAAACCAAAACTCTAGGGTAAAAGGTAACAACAGAAGGCTATTACATGCAACTACAGACTTTCCCCTTCTGCTGTGGAGCAATTCTGAATGCAACTCTAGGGATTCAGATCATCAACGCTGGCAGAAGGAATAGAATTTAAACAGGAAATGGGAATGATTCATACTTCCTTATGATTTTTCTATGAAGCTGAATATGCAGTGTATCTATGCAAAATACAAGGCTGTATTTCAAATGTTATTTCCTTGTATTCACACATTTCATATTCATCTTCACTTCGGTACAGCAAAAAAACTTTTATAAGACCCCACAAATCCGTCAGATGAATACTGCCGTATCTGTGTAAACCTGTGTGAGTATATGTATGTTTTTAATTATATATTTTATATATACATATATAAATGTATATATACATATATTTAAAAGTATATATATGTAGTATCTCTCTCTAACCTCTGCTTGCTTCGCTTATTGCTGCTTCTGACCTTACCCAAGAGCCAATACAGCACTGCTTATTTGAATTTGAGCTGTTTAATTGCAGAAAACATGACAGGCATGATCTGTTCATTCAGGAAGAAATTACATATAATAATAATTTCATAAAGTCTTCAAAGGCATTCTGTCCCACAACGGTTCAAAAAAGGTAGAATCAGTTTACTCTTCTATACCATCTGACTGGATAACTAACCTACAATATGCTAGAATTTCCAAAGTAAGATGGGTCTGCCAATAATCTGACTATCTGGAGGTCAAAATTCCTTTTTGTCAGAGTTGAAGATAAAGAAACAACAAAGCAGTTGAAAATGGAGCAGGGAAAGAAAAAAAATCTAAAAAACTTTCAAAGAATTTGCAATAGTTTATCAATCAAGAGATCCCAGTTCCTGATCTACTATTATGGTTGTCATATTCAGACATGTGGCTGCTTAAGAAACAGCTCTTCAGCCAGGAGGCAGTGAACCAAATTACAGGTGCCAGGAACCTTCGGAACAAACCTATATACCAGACAATCTATGTACCATTTCCCGTGCTCCCCCCACCTATCTACCATTCACCCCTTTCAATAAACTTTCATTTTTGTTGCCTGCATTTCAAAATAGTCTTATAAATATAAAAATACTTTAGATATCTTCTTTATTTTACATGTATGTTAACCTGGCTTGTGTGTCAAAGGTACATTCCTGTGGGTATGAAAACTCTGAGAACTGGGATACTGGAATACTCTTATTACCAGAAGCATCTCATTGCATAGTATAAAAAGTTGGGCATGAGCACAGGCAGGTTAGAGACTGGTAATGCATTACTATGCCATGGAAGGTGCCCTTTTGTGATGAGCATTAGTTACAGAAGCTTTTCAGTAGCATTAGATTTGTCAGGAAAGCACATAAACTTGAGCTTTGGCTAGATACAGAACAAAAAGACTAATGTTTTAAAAGATTAAATATTTTACAAGTACTTTACAGTAAGGTTGTAAAGCAACTGAGAGCTGAACATAGCACCTATCATTAAAAATGCTGGGTTTACTAAATGGTAGCCACCCTGACTTAGAAAAACTATTCAACTAAAGTGTAGAATACATAGCATCTAACTGTGATAGTATTTTCCATTAAAACACTTTCTACGAGGCCATTCAGTTTAAAAATTCCAAATTAACAGGATATCAAGATGAAGCAACTACTCTATTACTGTGCATAATAGAGAACAGCTGCATTTAAATAAATTTAGAAAAAACAACCCAATCCAAGAATATACTGATGTCTATAGGCTTCATAGATGTTTAGAAAAATGCAAGCTATCAGGATCATCAGTGATAGAGCCACAAAGCTTTATTAATGCCAAGCACTATTATTCTAGACTATTTACGATCAGGCTTAAGACATTAACCAGTTTATAAAAAACTGTGTAGAAGAAACACTTGATGAACAACACTTTTTCTTCAATAACAACGTAACATCTAATTTCTCTTTTTTCCAACTTGTGAGGAGGTCTATCTTTATCCTGTAAGGTACTGATTTTTGTACATAACAGATAATTAAAAACACTTTAAGACAAGCTCAAGTATAGGCTAATTTATATTGGCATTAACAGAGTTGCACCTGCTCATGCCACCTTTGAATTTGGATCTCTCGCATTCAGATGTTCTTCAGCAGACACCCCCTAAGTTTATCAGCAGTATGTCAAATGGTAAGATAAAGAATAAAAGCAAAAACTTACGGATTCCAGTGTTCTTTAGAAATCCTATAAAGGCTGGAAAACATGATGGGAAGTATAACGTTTGAATTCTCCTCTATTAAACTCATGATGTATTCGTTATTCCAATAATACAGTGCTCTTTCAGCCACCTTTGAGTCAAAGGAATAAAATATTAACAGGAATTCAGATATCTATAATTTTGCAATTTTCTGAAGGAAAAACAAATCACAGAGAGGTTTCACAAAGATGAATTAACATGAACCATTACCTTTGGAATTAAAACTCTACCTTAATCAGTAGCATACCGTGCATTAATGGAATTAAGTTCTTATCCTAGAATTCAGATCCCACAGCACCCACTCTCTTTCCCCTGAGTGATATGTTGTTACTCACTGAAGACCAGGTTCAGACACTGCTTAATGCTGCAGCTGTGGAGGGGAAGGGAGAGCAGACAGACTTCCCATTGCCCCTTTCCCTCAATCCTGTGACTGCAGTTGGAAGGAAAGAGCCATGCTGGGATACCAGAGGAAGGAGACAGAGAAAGGCCCAGTAGCTGGGCTGAGTAACAGGGGAGAGATCTTATGTGTGGGGAAGGTATCAATGATAATAATCACCTTGGGGACGAGGGGTGGGAGGATAGGAGGGAAACACTGATCTAAATTATGTTTTTAAAAAAATACAGTCCAAGGAAGAACCTAAAACAGTCATATCTGCCTTTGTCCTAGGATAGGTCATCCAGCTTAATATGGAGACACTACAGGCTTATGAATCCTATCTGCTCTTCACATACGATTCAACTTAAATCCCATTCATCCCCCTTCTTCCTGTCATGCAGTTTGAAGAGAACAGGCTATGGGTTCCAGCACCTCTAACCAGACATCTCCTTAAAGAAGGCAGTTAAGTAGGAAAACATGAATGCTGCACAATAGCACACTAAAAAAGGGAGCAAATACATCCTACATGGTCTTATCACGCTGAAGGCCATACAGTAAGTAGCAGTCACCTACAGTCAGAAGGGCTCAAGGTCTGCTTGGATACAGTTTAAGGCCTTATGTGGCTCAGAATGGCAAGTTCTGTGCTGTAACCCCAGACGCATCAACCAAGTTATTCATGGAGCTCAGAACTAAACTTCCACCGCAACATACCCTCTTCCATAGAAATCCAGAAGACACATATTTTAAACCACATAACATAAAACTGTATTCGCATCTGGCCATGTGTTATGTTTGAAATTGAGACTATACATTCCTATACACACAATAACCTCTACCACTGACCTGGAAATGAGGGCTAGAGACACACTTGGCAATTTGTTTAAACAAGGGTTCCTGGATTTTGACAAATTGTGACGGTTCAATTACATCCAAGATTTCCTCCAGCTCTCCTAGGAACATGACCTAAAGACAAGAAAGGAAGCATTGAATATAAAACCTCTGAATCATCTTGATCAACAAAATGCTGATAACCTCAATTTCAACCATTTCAGGGAGAAATGGAAGCCTAGCTCAGCAAGACCCTCTCTCAAAAAATGTTATCAGTTCTACCTTTAGCAACTTCCGTCTCTTAAAAGAAGGAGGATGAGTGTGTGCAAATACTATATTTAAAGTAGTCCTTTACAACAAAAATTGCACTAGTATAATCCATGCTGAAAACCTAGACTCATACAGACAAAGAATTTGGCCAAGGCCTAAACTTTGTTAACTAAGGAGTGTCTGTTAGTTTTACCTTATTTTTGGAAGCAATATGCAAAGTAATGGTTTTGCTATGTCACAAAATCTCTTTAGGGAAACTCAGATTTGAATCAAGAATTTGAAATAAAAATGCAAAGGTCTAAACTGCATCTTTTACTTGTTTAGTAGGTAAATGCCAGACAATAAAACATTTTTCATCCTCCCTGGAAAAATACTATCCTCACATATATGTAATTCCAAATCTAACAGAGTTTTCCAATCTATCCTCAACTATGTTTATTTTCTCCTTTCTGAAAGAAAAAGAAATTCTCTGCAGAAGAATCAGTGCTTATTTTGTGAATAGAAACTGTGGTTATCAAACTTGTCTCTTCATAGCCAAAACTGTCCAAAAAAACCAGAATTCAAGTGTGGAAAATCATCTGCAAGAATTAATACCAAGATCCACCACAGCATGTACTATCTACCTGGAAATATCTAAAGATTCCCTGCCTATTATATTGTAGAACAAAATGACTCTTATGCTTTGTTAATACTAACGTATCACTTACCTCTTTCTGACTGCAGGTTTTCGGCCAGAATTTCATTAAACCTCTAATGACCTAAATTAAAAGGAAAAAAAAGTTAGATCCTTTTACTTTTGTCTCAACAAGGTAAACAATTCATGATTGGGAAAAAAAAAAGTATGAAAGAAATATTTACTGGTTCTGTGAGTGAGGGGTCTTTCTCCAGAAACTGTACTATGCAGTATGCCAGCTGTGAAGAGGTAAAGATTTAAGAAAATGAAGTTAGAACATTTCTATAAAGAAAGCACAAAGAAATAATTTTTTTTATAAGAGTGACTCAAGGCAAAATGCTATACAGCCTTCTCAAATTGCACCCAATTTTAAACTGAGATGCATACTTTGCACTGTGCAAATCCACTCAAAGTGCAGCTCATAAGAAACAACAGAACACATTACAAAAAAAAATAGGGTGACAAAGTAGCATATACAATAAAAATCAGAGCAACCTGGAATTCTAAACACAGTCATACAACCAATGTTCTGAAGCTTCTGTTACCCTCTGAAACTGTGTCTTTTTACAATTTTATACATCAGAAAAAACATGAAAACTATTATAACATAAGATGGCACAGCTAAAACCTGGAATAACATATTTTATGTTTTATCAGTATATGAAAAACTTGACTACCTAAAAATCAGAGAGAAATGCAACAGGTATCACTTATCAGAGAAAAAAAATATGTAATGAAAGCTGAATGTGTAAAAGGATATATGAGAGCATAAATGCAGTATTAAGAAATCTGTGAGGAAGAATGTTAAAGATTATGCAAAAATGTGCGTATTAGTCCATTCAGAGGGTTGCCAGAGTGAAGAAGAGCCTTGACAGCACAATACTAAGGAAAACCAAACATTCTCTTGGGAGAGGGAATGGGAAGGGCGAACTTGTGAAAATGAGAAAATAACAGAGAGGATAAAGAGAGAGTTTAACTACTAAACAAAATCCCCAAAATATTACAGATGTACGTTACAATTTTAATTATCTAATCAGAAGACATTTATCATACAAAACACATTAAATGTATTTTTTTAAAATCTACTGCATTTTTTCCACATTCCAAAATTTTCCCCCCACCATTTGTGCTATGCAATTAAATTTCCAAAGCAAACTTAAAATATATATATATCTATATAAAAAATTCTAACTGAGCAGAAAAAAAACTTGTAATTTCTACCTGTGCATGGAAGAGTGATAAACTCCTGACAGTATGTAAAGGAATCAGCACCTTCACCAGAAACTGTTTATGCTCTGCCTTAAGAGGTAAAGCAAAACCATTGATAATACTAGAAATCAGAAGAGAAATATTTGTTAGTGTTATCATGACAGAAAACATTCTTGAGGTCTGAACAAGCATTTTCTAGATTGAAATAATTTATCAGTCAGCACCTGTTTACAAATAGCAGGCTCATGCCCTTTGTAAACAGGTACTGACTTTTTTCCTGCTTTATATTAGCAGTGCAGTACATATCTAGGTAGCAATTGAGCTCCAACTTAGGAATAATCATATGAACAGCTGCACAAACCTGTTGCCAAACAGATAAGGCCTTGTCTATGCGGTCTGTAAATTCATGTAAGCAAGGTGTTCCTGAGTAATTAACTTACTATGATCAGATTTACTCAAAATATTCACACTGTTAAATGTGCTTAAAAAAAAAAATATTCTGCAGCATGTAATGATGAAGTGCATAAAATTAAACACGCACAAAATCAGTCCAACACTTTTGGCTGCAACTTGCATCCAGTTACATACTCTTGGCAAAGATGCGACAGAGACTTGCACATGGGCTTAAAGATGAGCACATGCACACATCTGTTTTCAGAATCAGGGCTTATACTAATACTTTTTCTGAATCTGACACTATTCTGACGTGTCCAGAAGGGAAGTTTGAGATAGATAATAAAGACAGACTTGTTTACCTTCCTAAAATTTCCAACAGTTCTGCTACGCCATTGAAGTGTTCAGTTTCATAAACAAATCTAAAAAAAAAAAGTTAAATATAAGTAACATATGTTTCCTAAAATGTTCATAAGCAAAAAGTATCTTCTCCCACAACTTACCGTAGAAAAATATTATTAATCTGTTTTCGGATAAATGCTCTAAGACCCAGAAACTTGCCATAAATTCTGTGCAAGACTGTTTTTAGGTAGTCTCGTTCTCGAGGGTCTTCACTGTCAAACAGCTCCAACAGCTGTGTTTGAAGGAAAAAGAGAAGTGAAACACTAGACATTTGACAAGTATGACACACAGACTTCTACATAAAAGTTAAATTCATGAAAGCACATGCATGTAAGAATGTGATATCCCTGTTACCAAAGGTGTAGAAATACAGTATTAAAAAATCTGTTGTAACCATAGTACAATATCATGAAATTCAGTTTATTAATTTCTGCTTCTGACATAACAAAACTTTGGAAATCTTCAAGCAACTAATAAACTTAGCTGGCTCCAAAATGCTGCATTCTTCCTCCCTAAAAATAAATAGAATATTTCTTAGATACTGTCATATCTACAAAATAAGACAGTTTGCCTCTGTCCATTCCTTCACTCTGCAGAACTAAAAGATCCTCATTTGCTCTAATATTTTGTTCCCACAGCATTGTGTCAAGGTCACATTTTTCTAATCACTTGTAATTTATATTACGAGCTCTTAAGCCTTCCTAGTGATTGCATGGCCTTCACGTTGTCGAAAGCCGCAACAGTGAAGTCTATGCCAGCACTGGATCTGCTGTTACAGGATCTCCACCAATCAACACGAATTAAAGCATCAGGGGGAATTAATCCTCCAGGCTGAACAAAATGGTAACTTCAATAGGCAGTTTAAAAAAATAATAATAAAAAAAAAATCTGAAAAAACACCTTTAGTAAGTAACTCTTTAATCAGACTTTAAAACAGCAAAACAATTATGTGATACTCAGTCAAAAGAGAATGCCATCTTATGCCTTGCATTGTACAAAACATATCCAAAAACCACTGACATCTGAAGTGGCCTCTAAGAATTAAGGCATGAAATGAGCAGCAAGTGTATCACCTGCAGACCTCTGTTCTATTCTTCCTGAATCCTCTACCACAAAAGTATGAGCTTTCCCCTACCCCTTCTTCTTCATCTTTTTTGACACCACAACACTGGATATTCTGGTGGACATATGGAATAAGTTAGAAGGTAAGCTTTATTTAAAAATCAAACCAAACCAAACGAACAAACTGTATTGAGAGCAGCCCTGAGGAGAAGGACTTGGGGGTGTTGGCTGATGAGCTCAACATGAGCCAGCAATTCACACTTGCATCCCAGAAGGCCAACCGTATCCTGGGCTGCATCCAAAGCAGTGTGGCCACCAGGTCGAGGGAGGTGATTCTGCCCCTCTGCTCTGGGGAGACCCCACCTGGAGTCCTGCGCCCAGCTCTGGAGCCCTCAGCCCAGAATAGACATGGACCTGTTGGACAGGGTCCAGAGATGGCCACAAAAATGCTCAGAAGGATGGAACACCTCTCCTATGAGGGCAGGATGAGAGAATAAGTGTTCAGCCTGGAGAAGAGAAGACTCCAGGGAGACCTTATTGCAGCCTTCCAATATCTAAACAGGGCCTATGAGAAAGCTGGAGAAGGACTTTTCACAAGGGCATGTAGTGATAGGACAAGGGGTAATGGCTTTAAAGTGAGAAAAGGTAAGATTTAGATTAGATAGAAGAAGAAATTCTTCATTATGAGGGTGGTGAGGCACTGGAACAGGTTGCCCAGAGAAGTTGTGGATGCCCCATCCCTAGCAATGTTCAAAGCCAGGCTGGATGGGGCTTTGAGCAACCTGGTCTAGCGGAAGTTGTCTCTGCCATGGCAGAGAGGTTGGAACTAGATGATCTTTAAGGTCTCTTCCAAATCAAACCATTCTGTGATTCTATGAAAAAAACAAAAAAAACCCCAACCACCAAAACCCCAAAAACCTCAACCCCCTCAAAAGCACAGTAATTATAAGCAACCGGCATCCCTCTTGTATGAAAAAAAGCAGCTGTCAGCCAGTACCCTCCTTGCAAGAGACACGAAGACAGTTTGCCATAATAGTCTTACAAACGTATAAGAAGTTGTCAGAAAATTATTACAGGAATGGTAGAAAACAAAATTATTTTGGATTCACAAGATAAACTATAATACCTATTTTAAGTAGATATGCCAGTGTACATATAATATCCGATCTCTTGTTAAACTGCTACACAACTTTGAGGAGGTGAAAAAGGAAAAAAAGACAGAAAAAGATGATTAAAAGTTGCTAAGATGTCTGGGATTTTGCTTTCTAATATCCAGGTTTAGGACTAATGTACGTATTAGTCTTCATTGTTTTCGATGTTTCTGTAGCATGTAATGAGATCCCACTATCTTTTCCTTGCAGTAAGAATCTGTGGTGGGAATTTCATGAGGAAACGATGAGGTTTGTCAGCTGCCCTCCAGAGGTTATAAACACATTGCTTTGTTCAATTAGTTCTACAGTTAAATAAATAAATAGTCACCTCATCCTTCCCCAAATAGCGAATTTCACCCAAAGACAGCAAACAGCTGGAAACACTTATGCTTTTAATTTTCTTACTGGATTGCTTTTAGGAGCAAAATATTTATATTTCCAGTTCTCTTATACAAATCCTCTGTGGAAATATTGCTGAACTAAGACTCAGTCTCTTACTAAAAACAAAAAAAAGGGACAATTATTATACTATGTCCACTTTGTTATCAGGTTTCAACAATAAAGTCTTATTTTTATAGATAAGCTGCAAGACTTCCATAATTTACATGACTATTCTGACACTAAGCATACATAGAAAAGGGAAATAAATTTTCCAAAATAGTAACCTACATAACACAGGCACTTGTGGATATATTTGAACATTATGTCTCTTAGCAACCACTGCCAACCATTTCAGACTGTATATAAGCAGGCTTTAGAAATGAACACTTAAACGGTTAAGTACAGCATTTTATCAAAACATACAGCTGAGAGCCACAAACACGTCTATATCCAGGAAACAAAAGCAAAAAGCATGCAAAGAAGAAAAATCTTGAAAAATGCCCATTAAAAAAAGCTGTATCATTTTTTCATATAGGCATTCTTACTGCCAAGAAACACCCATTAAAGTCCCTCAAATTTTCAAGAAACAAATCAATTTAGAGTGAAAGACTAGATTCTAGTCTTTCCAGTCTAGATTTCAAAGACTGACACACTTGTGTTGTCAGTGTCATGAAACACCAAACATGCTTAATGTTCTTAAGTCTCACATTGCTTTCCTACGTAAGTGATCTGGAGTCACAGATTTTTAGGTGTTCCTCTAGACACACAACACACACAATAAGATGTGGAAGGACACCCCACTTCCTACAGGCTAAACACAAACACTTATACACATCGAAATGTATTTATAGAAGAATGTGAATTTTAAAATGACACACTGTGCATAGCAATATATAAAAATGCATCACCTAAGCATCTGGCAAGAACTTCTGAATTCTAGAATTCTTTTGAACTCTTAATTTTTGTACCATACATTTTCAGGTAAGTAGGTTTCAAAATCTCACACTTCCCTTTTTCAGTAGATAAATCTACTTAATGAAAGAAAGGTTGTTAAAGGCTAACAGGATCTAAAAAAAATATCCTTCTTTTAGACCCATTCTCCTGTGCCAAATTGTAACAGGGTTGAATGCCTTGCAAGGGAGTGAGTGGGATGGCACCAGTCATGACCAAGTCGCAGCACCATGCAGCAGCACATAACAGGAGCATCTAGGAATTACTTTCTGCAGATTTTGAAGTAGAACACAAACATTCCTTCTAATGCAATACTGCTGTATCTAAAGAAAATAAAATCAGTCTTGAAGAATCTGTCAAGAGCAATTACCCCCCCATGCATATTCTTACATCTCCATCAGGTACTGGATGATCACACTGGTGCACGCCCCTTGTTCAAAACAATATTAAGATGAACAAAAAGGAAACGCCACCATGGAGGTTTGACCCAGATGAAAAACTCTCTTGTATTTAGAAGATGGATAAAATAAAAATGAAAGTATATCCCACTGCTTCTGTAGACTGAAAAAGGTCTTGTGATATTAAGAAGGAAACTGAAGTCCCTTCTTTGAATCTTTGAATTTAAGGATAAAAATTGCTCTCTTAGCTATGTTTTTCAGCTATTCTTCATATGAATAACATACAAGGACAGTAAAAACACTGCTTTAATTGTCTGAGCACTACAGGTAAAAATAAAGGTTCCAGGACAAAGGAACAAGAGAAAGATCTTCAGAAATGCTGAGTACCTCCTACCACTTCTAGTTTGGCTTTTACTCAAGTCTCAGCCTGCAAGGAAACTCCCTTTTCTAAATAGGAATCTTTCTAAATTTCCCTGATTTCAAAAGCAAGCTATATACAGCTGAAACACAAAGTTTTTTCTGACTTTGCCATTATACAAAAATTCACAATGGGAACAGAAAACACAAGACAGGCCTATTCCCAAAAGCTGAAGACAAAAGTCGTATCTGGAGTTTCCTGGCTTATCCCAGAAAACATCTTCCTCCAGACACCTCTGTTCTGATGTCTGCCAAGGCCTGGATGAAAATTCCTCAGTAGAGAAGACCAGCTACTGTAGTTTCAAGTGAAATAACAAAGGACACAAGAAGCCTAGTTCATACACAACAAGGAGGAAGATTAAATACGTGTAAAATACCTGGCTACCAGATGACCGCCTGACAGAGGCCATCTCCTCCATTCAGCCATAATGACAGCAAGCAAACCACAAAAATAAAGCTATCCATTTTTTGCCAATGTTGTTTATTATTGATGCTACTTCTTCCATGCTTTTAATATAGCTTGAACTTCATACGGCCTTTTGCTTTACTTCCTCCACGACCACTAGAGCATCACTGTTTTCAGTACTGCGCTGGGAATAGGTTTCTTAATGAACTTCTGCCCCTTGCCAGCTCTCCAGCAGTGATAGAAGGGAGAAGTAGTCTCCCCTTCCAACAGAAATATTTTAACACTATTAAGACACATTAAAGCTGGCCTTTAAGTAGTCTCTTTACAGAGCAGAATTTTTAGACTACATGACAGTAAACCTTCCATTTTTCAACAGTTTCGTTTCAGTTCTCTTTTATAACCAATGAGTCAAACATTTTGATTAAGGTATCAAAACTAAAGCAAAATCAACTACTGTATATACCTCTAGCAACAGAGACTGACAGATAAACACATGCATGTTTCCCATACTGCTGTAGATTGAAAACTTTCATTGTATGTGCTTGTTTAGCCTTTTTCTGTTGCAAATAAAGTTGCACTTTCAAATTCTAAACAAAATCTTTTTAAAGAAATTTTTTTCAAAACCAAAAATGAAGCCTTAAAGAAAACAGATCAGCTTACCTGCAATACAAATTTCTGATCTATGTACTTTTTGGCAATGCTGGGCTGAAATTCTTGGCTTTCCAAAAATCGTATGAAAAACTCATATACAAGCTGCAAAAGAAAACAAAACAAAACAAAAAGCAAAAAACCAACATGGCTTAGTTTAGGACTTGGTTATTCTTTATAGTTTCAGGTATTTCCCTAAATTCTTTTGCTAGGACATAAAATACTTATTTTTCCACAGAGCAAAAGGTTAAAAAGATGAAAAAGGTTTCTTTCCTCTATCAAATGGCAACTTTAGAGTTTGAATTAATTACATGGCCTTTTTAAGTTAACTTTGTTTATTTAACCCCAGTCAAAGACATTTCATCACCAAAAACAGTCTCTGCAATCTTGTAATGCTTGTTATCATCTTGTAAAGCTTCCTAGAGTAATTGGAAAGCACATTTAAACTGCCCTCTGAACTGCTGAAGTCACATCAAATATAGACATTACAATTTGAAAGGGTTGGTGAAACAGTTAGAAATACTATAATTAAATTAGAAACTGCTTAGAGTAGTGTTCTACTACAACTTGAAACACAGAAGAAGAATACAAACTGGAATTTATTCAGAAGTTCCTAACTTACTGTAAAGATTAGCCTCAGGGCTGGAGAAAACCTGCTTACTTTCATGCAATTCCACCTCCGCCTAAATTATTCAGTGGGACAGCAACAGATTTTTCATTTCGTGGAGAAAAAGAGTATAAAAAACAGGCAAAAAGGAAGTGAAGTGAAACAGGGTCTGCTGTGGCTTCTTAAGACAGCAAGTCGGACCTGGCACTGATCAGATGAGCTACCAGCCAGCAACTCCCTTCACTGAACCTTTTCAAGAAGAGTAGCCACTGAAAACATTTTCCCTTCTGACTTCAGTGAGTATGAATATGGATACTGAAAGAAGAAAGGAAGCTAAAAAATTATATTTTAAAATAATTTTTAAAACTTTTTAATGCAAACACCAATATGCTGCAATACTGCTGCTGCTTTATGACAGTGTTCTCTGACTTCTGAAAGAAAATAATAGGAAATCAAAAAGAGGGAGAGAGGTTTAGAAATATGACATGGAAAAAGCAACAGCTTACATAACTAGTATTAAATCATCAGGAAATCAATTCCATCAACTCCTGACAAATATTTTGGTGCATTTCTTCCTAACAATGGTAAATCATACACTGGCTAAGAAATTCCATCATTCCATGTAAATAATGACTTTTAAAACTACAGCACTAGGTCAATGGACATAAGCTAAGACATGCATGCTTGCCTGTGATGTTTCCAGGTAGGCAGAGCTCTTCAGAGCTGCCTTGAAGCTTTTAAGATTCTAATTTTTGTGAAATTTAAATATAAATGAGGGATCAAACATACATTTCAACAGATTCTAAATTTGAGAGCACAAAAGAGTGAAACAAACTGCTCACCAGCAAGGATTGTGCATGCAACTGTCAAATAAAATCCTCATTTCAAGCTAAGATCAGTCATGCCCCTTTCCTCACAGAAACTCCCAGACTCCACAAACTGTTATTCAGGCAAACTTCTTCTAAATTTACCAGTGGTGTGAGTCATTGTCCCAACTAACACAGACAAGATCTGCATCTACATTTTCTATAACGGAATTTACTGCATTAGCATCAATGATGCTTTCTCCAAAATTCGTTTATGTTCTTTGTTCAAGATACCTCATGTTGATATTTGAGGCACAGGGTAAGGAACGATACACAGCAGTGAGCATGCATCCTGCTACAAACACCTGAAAGCAAACATCAACCCGTGGAGAGTAAGGAAGACTTAGATAGGGATGTAGATTCTCATTAATTTTTCTGATCAGCTGACAACACCTGTATACTTTTGTATGAAAATTAACTATGCTCAGTAAAGCAAAAACTGCTAGCAGTATCATACCCACAATACTCTTGCTTAAGAGCAGTTTGGAAAGCAAAATAATTTTTAAATCAATGAAGGAAAACAGGAATATGAGGGACACCATCAAAACTATTTGGAAAGAAAGCTTTATCATTTTGCAAATTTCACAAAGTACTCTCCTGTCTTTGTAGGTACTATATTGTAGTCCTGAACAATATTAAGAAATATTAGTGTCTCACAGTCCAGTCCTGATTCACAGGTTTAAAAACAAAGCTGAGAAAATTCTCAGATCATTAATCATTAATCAATGATAAGTATTTCTGATGTGATAAATTATCAAAAACCTGTAAATGTGGCCACGATGCCTCCAAGGTGGGCTCATCTTCTTCTGGATCAAATTCATTGCTGTCACTAGGTGGGAGAGTTCTGAAGATATTGCAAGATACCTGAAAAGTGAAAGAAAGAATAATGAGATCTGCTTTTCAAATAGGTACTAGATTTCAAGACTCTTTATGTCTATACCTACCCTATCCCCCATCACGTAAGCAGTATTTCTATTGCCTGCTGTCTGATGAAGTTCTTGAGCAATAGTACAGGTCTAAGGAACCTGTCACTTTACAAACCTGCCACCAACCTTGGCTTTCCTTTCTCCAGGGCTTTTTGTTTCTTCTTCCCATTGATATCCCAGCATTGCCCAGTCTGCCACCGTTTCTGTCCACCACACTCCAGATGAAGCCACCAACATTTAATTCCCAATCCTGCTAGGCATCAATGGGCTGAGAGCCATGACTGATGAGGAGTTGCAGGAAATGCTATCAACATGCATTTACAGGTGTTTTCATACAACACTTGGTTATTTTCCTTTGCACAGGGAAAACATTAATGATATCTGCTTACGGTCTCATCTGTTAGCACTTTTTAAGAGTTGCCAGTGCTAGTCGCACATTATATGCCTGGACACCTCACACCAAGTACAGAACTTGGTACTAAATGCAAGCAACAAATAGTGTCTGCTCGTCACTTAGCCTAAGTTTTATTTCACGGTTGGTTTGCTTTGCTTAATCTTATTTAGAGGTATTTTGCTGAGACTGCTTGGCTTTGGGAGGTTCATGCTAGCAAAGACTGAAGCGGAGTGCTTTCCTGGGTTAATTATAGCTCTGAATGGAGTGTACAGTTTATTATGCAGCAAATCTGATAAACTGCAAACATGCTGTAGGCCCTTTTCTGCACTTTGAAGGAGTTGTGGCTTCTTTGCACTCTGCTACTGCATTTGACCCATCTCTAAGTTGGTTAATGAAACAGCTGAGAAAAGCAGCACGCTATCTCCTAAACCCATCTATACATGATTCCTTCATAGTAGTTCAGCCAAACTAAGCTATTTAAGAAACAAAACTAGTATGTTCTTCAACATCCTTATTTATTTTTCCAGCCTTTTACTCCTGTAAAAGTTTTAAAGTTAGTCTCTAAGGCATATTTTCAATATGTTGGCAACTGAATAAGAAAAAGCACTTTAAAGCCAACAGTTTAAATACAATCCAAATACTGATAAAACCAGATTAAGATAAACAGAGTAAAATTCTAAAATTTGCAAGACAAACAGAACAGATTCAGGTACTGCATAAACAGAAATATAAAACAACAAAAAAACTATAGGAAAGCACATGTGGTGCATACCAGTGAGGAATATTCACTGAACACATGGGAAAGACAAAAGAAGAGTAAGGCAAACCATGATCAAAGAAAAAAAGGGGAAAAAAAAAAAAAAAAGAAGAGGTCACACGGGCTTCTGCTTGGACTTTTTTCTTCTTGCCACAAGAGGGTGTATTTGACTACAGTTACAGCAGAACACCGTTTTACAGAAGCCGTCACTGTATTTGTAAATCTCATGTTTTCAAGTCGCATGGCTGTCAACCTTAACAGATCGAGCACTTATTAGCCTGTGCTGATAGATACTGAACTCTGTTTGCCCTGTAAGCATACCTGCCAAGGGATTACTACCATTTATTAGCAGATACTCTCTTTCCCCCTTCTCCATCCTCTTTCCCCAACTCATTCACTTCTCTCAAAAGTCCCTCATGAAAAGACTTCTAGTAGCATGAGAAGTCAAATAACTATTCCAGGAATACACACATGTTACACTTCGTCTTTCCTCAAGGATTCCTGTGCTCCTACTACTATCCCTGATATGAAAAATCAGAGAAAGGAGGAAAGTGATCAGAATTAACAACATGGAGTAGATGACCCAAAGGATTCGGGGGGGTGGGCGGGGAAGGAAGTGTACCTGTTGGTACCCTGGATCCAAACATCTGGGATTCTGCAATACTTACTGCAGCATTTTTGGTTAATGCTTCACATTCAAAAATCCCAGCTTTCTCAGGATTTGGACCAAAACTGGGAACTAGCAAAACCAAAGGCATTCTGCAGCTATTTCTTTTTCCTGCTTTAAATTTCATTTGAAACCAGAAAGAATTTTTTCTGCAAATTTATCCATACATAAATTAGTGAAACTTGTACCAATAGATCAGAAAAAAATCTAAGTATTCATCAGCTGTTGTGTTTAAAAGCTGGCATAAATATTCATTTATGGCACAAGCAAAATCTGCAAGGAGAAGTACATGCTTTCAGAACGAGAAGCTAAACTAAGACAAATTCCTGAAAGATTTAAATTAAGTAAGTTAAACGAAGCTTCAAACAGCTACTGCCAGGGTCTTAAAAGCATGACAGAAGTATGAAGGTTTTAGCAACAATTAAGTTACGTGCCAGCACTGACTCCTGAATCTTGAGCTTGTAACAAAACCCGTATGACTTCTGGAGAGTGCATACTAAAAAAAGGCCAGTCTCAAGGCTACTCAAAAGCAGTTTTTTGCATAAGAAAATTAGTATGTCAGAATAAATACAACACAAGTTAGAATACGGTCTTAGTATACAGTTTGCTCTCTTTAATTTTCTTTTTTGCATTAGGAGTAAAGAGAAGTTAAATGGAACTAAAACGCAGATATTCTCCTGAGAAGAACAGACAGAACAGGTTATCTTTAAGTGATTTCCCCAGGTTATCATAATTTTAAAAGATAATGTGTGCCATTACAGTTACATTAATCACCACAACACAGCATGATAGCTCATTTACATGCAGTGTCAATTTACAGCATGCTTATCTAAATCAGTAGCCTCTAGGTGGCTAATGTTTATAAGCCTCTAAGGGAGAACTGAAGGCAACAAGTTCTTCCATGCATGAACTGCCCAGCTGTACATTAGAGATTTTGACAGCCACCACACAACGATGGGAATACGCTACATCAAATCTGGAAAGAAGAATTTTTCTCAGATAGGCATAAGGTAGCTATTTAGTATTTATCCCTGGGCCCAAGCAGCATGCCAAAATTCCTTCGGCTAGATAGCTGAATCATTTCTCTTCTGACCTTTGTTGGATCATCAAGCCAGAGGACATCGCTGCCAGCCTGTGTATACAGTCCCTGATGATTCCTCTCCCACAGCCAACACAGAGGACTATTGATCAATACTGACTTCCGTCTTCCACTGATTAGGAACGCCTCCAAGCCCAGATGATATTTTTGTAAAGCACACCAGAACTCTAATGTTCTAGAAAGTTCTATCATGACAAATCTCCCCTATCATGTCCTCAAAGACATCTGGGTGCTGTCCTCCGTGACTGTCCCTTCCAGAAGCACACACCAAACTGAGTGTAGAAAAGTACATCACTGTTCCCCCACTACGCAGAACTTGAACATCCAAGTGCCAGAAAGCAATTTAACATATCAGTAAAATATACCCATAGCCACTGAATCTAAAATTTCCAAGATCAAGCTGGAAAATGCCGATATTACAGATTTTTAAATTGTAGATGCCCAGAAACCTCTACTCTATGTGAGTGTGTCAGTCAGGCACAACTTGGACTAGACACAAGACAGAAAGTTTTCCAGGCAATTACAAGTCAATGTCAATTCATTAAAAGCAAACAAGAAGATAGAGAAGGCTGCTTTGATGGCCCCACAAAGAATGAGCTGCACGTTCTGAACAGATGTGAGGACTGGTACCTGGCGATGCAGAACTACGAAACTATGAATATACACTTAAAAGTAACAGCCTTCAATAAAGCTCTGATTTTATCACCACATTTATATTTGAAATAATTTTTAGAAAAGCAAGTACTAAGAGGCTTAAGTCTGAAGGCAGGAATAAATGTTTTGAGAAGTCCCCTCTTTGTCCCTCACTGGAGCACTATAAAAATGACGTCACTAACAGAAACGCCTCACAAATTCAATTTCAGCTCAGCGCTCCTACTCTGTGCTGTTTGAAACAAAGATTTTTATCAGTAATAGTTTTTTTGAATGGAGCCTGAAATGAAAACAAACATACACACAGGGAAGCTTAATACATTTGCTATATAAAACGAGGATAAATGAATACCCAATTAGCTCAGAGGAAACACCTGTTCTGTTACCAGTATGTTGAACCTCCCAAATAAACCCTATGTATATATGAAATTGAAACCAAGTATGGACACACACAATGCTTAAAACTACTGTGCGTATTAACAACATACAGTAACAATAAAATGTAATTAAGCCATAACATGAAGCCATGCTAACTGGGAAACAATAATGGCCCCTGGAACAGACACTAAACTCGTCCTTCTGAAATATGTGGGGTTTTTTTTTAATATTGTATATGGATTTACATATTTTAGAGCCTGAAGTGACTACTACAGTCACTCAGCTATAATGTCTCTATATAACGCATTGAATTGTTCCCAGAAGTCTGACTACAGTACATCTTGCAAAAAGAAATATCTAATTTTATCTTAAAGGATTAGAAATTATTCCACCAGCTTTCTTCTCCTAAAGTTTCACTACTAAATTAACTACACCACTGCTTCTGATTTCAAGGTTGAATCTGCCTGATTCCCGGCTGGTTCTCGTTATACCACCAGATTTCTTCTGCATCTGCATATATATTTGCCTATGCAGTATGTAGCTATTTATATACAGGTATTTTTATATAGACATGACACCTCTCAACCTCTGTGCTGCTAAATGGAAAGATAGAGCTTCTGAATCCAGCCAGTTGTTGGTTTCTTTGTTTTTAATCCTGTGACTATTTTTGCTTCCTTCCTTTGAGCTCCCACATGTGCAATGTCCACACTATGTATGTTCAGAGGGAGGAGTTTCTTTCTAGTGATCTCTTGCGCTGAAGCCCATTAGCAAGTTAGAAAGCATTAGGTACGCTCCTGGAGTAGACATTTTGTCCAAAAGGAACTAAATTTACAAACCCTAAGACTTCACTATCACAAGCATCAAAGCGGAGTGAGAACAAATGGGAGATCCACCTTCAAGAGGCACGCTCAGGATGTGAGTTCCTGAGTGCTAGCACAGGCTCGTCCCCAGGCAGCACCCCTGGGTACACCTTCTCGCTGCTGGAAACTGGAGCTCTGAAACTCCACCCTAGGTCACCTAGACCTGAACAATAACAGGTTACCCTACTGGTAACAACCCTGTTCATCACCATCTCCATGTAACT